GTATTCTAAAAGGGTAACTTCCTTACATAATTGAAATTCATTAAAAAAAAAAAAAAAAAAAAAAAAAAAGCAATCACTACTTCTTACTAGGGGTGTACACGGTTTGGTTTGGACTAGATTGGGAGTATTTTGGGACCAAACTATTTGTAACAGTTCCAATATTTTTGAAACCAAACCGAATCATAATGTCCATGGAACCAAACCAAACCAAACTGCTAAAAACCGGTTTGGTTCGGTTCGGTTTGTCGGTTTCAGTTGATTTCTTTTTTATTTTATTTTAATTTAGAGGGCCAAAGTTTTTTTTTTTTTTAAAAAAAAAAAAAAAAAAATTTATCAACTAACATCAATATAACACTCGAAAAAAATAATTTTAAGAAGAAAAAAAGAAAAGAAAATTAAGATATATTTGAAAGGAAAGAAAATTGAAATATTTTTGAAAAGGAAAATTTGACTTTTTTTTAAAGAAATTTAAAGAACAAAAAAAGAAAGGGAGCACGTGAGAACTTTACTTGATTTAAGTTTAGGATATGATATATATATATATATATATATATATATTATAACATAGTAACGGTTCGGCCCGGGCTAGTCCGGTCCAACACGATCATAAATCAATACCGGACCGAAAAATTACGGTTCCATAATTTTAAACCCAGGACCGAACCAAACCGCTATATAACTAGTCCAAATCGCCTAATTCAGTACAGTCTGATCTGATTTTTCGGTTTACCTAATTTTTTGAACTTCCTTACTTCTTACACCCCTCCGTAACAAGTAACATGTGCGACAATAGACAATGCCATTATAGTTATTTTAATTTATGAAACTACCACACTTGTTGCATCAATTGCCCATACTTGCCACAAGCCTTTACACACACCCCATCTCCATTTGACTTGGCCAATTGTTGAGAGAGTAATAAATCTCAATTGATAACACATTTTTAAATAACAAAATAATTTTCTAACCAATCTGCTCTCTGTCATGTGGTAAAATTAAAAACAAATTATTTTAGGGTGCAAACAGTTGGCCGGACTATATCTTTTAAGAAACGAAGGTCTTTGGTTGAACTCAAACACAAACCCATTCATGGGTGAAATGATCTATGAAATTAGTCAATGACAACTGAAACTTTTAGTGGCCAAGGCTGAGAGATCTTTGGTTCAATTCCACCCGGAACCGATGTGACTAGAATATTTGATTGGTACCTGATACATCACTAAAGAGCTAATAGTAAAATTGTAATACAACAATCAAGATTTTTATTATTTTTTTCGAATAGAATAAACAAGATTACATAGCTGATAATGAGCAGTACTACTCCTACTACAGAAAAAAAAAATTCTCTTCCACAAACATTTTTAAGATGAGTAGTACTACTATTACAGATCATTTATTATCGATCATCTGAAAGCTGAACAGCGTTATTTAATTAAACTTCATCTCTATAACTAGTAGTAATGGTGAAAAACTTGTCAGAGCTTATAGTGAGGGAGGGCTGAGGTAACATCTGCTCCCTTGGTCTTGTAATATTTATGGTATTCACTGCAAATGAACTCTCTGTATATAGGTGGTTGGTCTTCGGACAGAAGCTCTTTTATGGGTCCGAAAGGCTTAGATGCAGCCCTGCCACTTGCAGTGAAGAAACATGCAACTGATACCGTTGGTCCCACAGGCTGAGCCAACACCCTATTGTCACGCCCCGCCTATGGAGGTTGTGTCACGCAGGCGACACGCAGACGCTGAGGAGGACGCTGCATGGCAACTGCATGGCAAGTGGAGTTTCTAGAGTCTTCCGGAATAGTCTAGAGTTATGTGGAAGATTCTAGATATGTGTAGAAATGTGTAGAAGTGTGTGGAAGGTTCTAGAGTTCTCTAGAGTTGTGTGGAGTAGTATAGAGAATTCTAGAATGTTGTAGATACTAGTAGATAAGTATGGAAGTGTGAAGAAGGTGGGAGAAGATAATCAATCTCCACCGTTGGTTAGAATGCATCCTAGCCGTCCATTGGGGATGGGGATGCCTATAAATAGAGGTAGGACTTCATTTTGTAGGGAACAAGTCCTAGAGTGAGTCTTGAGAGCCTTGTAGAGAGCTTGAGTGCTAGCCTTGTACAAAGCATTCTTTGAAGTAATAGAAGTGTTCTTTCCTTGCCAACTTAAGTGTCTTAGTGTGTGTGAGTGTGCAAGCCAAGTGAGGAGAGGGCGAGTGCAACTACAACACTAGTAAGCGCACGAGGGGAGTGTGTTGGCTAAGGTGTGCACAGGAATTAGGCTGACCAAGTACTTGCGAGAGTGGAAGCAACATCTTGGTGCCGCACGGGAGCAGCTAGAGTGGTGCTGAAACTCTAAGCCCGTGACAGTTGGTATCAGAGCCAGGTTCGTCAAGGGAGCTTTGTTGGAGTAGACATGGCTAGCGGAGGAGACCACCAAGTCCACGTCTTGGAGCAGAGCTTGGAGGAGAAGCTTGCCACACACTTGGTCTACACGGAGACCAAATTTAACAGGCTCGAGAGAAAGATGGCGGAACTCTACGAGCTGATTGACGGCATTGCCAACAAGGCGCGAGAGAAGGAAAGGGACTTGTATGATCAGGTAGACGACTTGCGCGTGGAGATTGCCGAGTGCAAGAAGGAGTTCTCCCAGGCGCGCGAGGTCGTGGGGAAGCCAAGGAAGAAGAAGGCGCCGGAGCCCAAGGAGTACGATGGGGCAAGGAATGCGCGCCAGATTGACAACTTCTTTTGGCACATGGAGCGGTACTTCGAGTGCATGGAGATCGAGGATGATGAGGAGAAGGTGCAGACAGGCACTATGTACCTCACAGACACCGCCGCTCTATGGTGGAGGCAGCGCTTCACTGGTAGAGGCGCAAGAGCAGTTGACACATGGGAGGAGTTCAAGAGGCAGCTCAAGAGGCAGTTCTACCCTGAGTGCGTTGAGGACCTGGCCATGATCAACCTAAGGCGCCTGAAGCAGAAGGGCAGCATAAGGGAGTATGTGAAGGAGTACTCCAACTTGATGCTGGAGATCCCAGAGATGCCGGAGCGGCAACGTGTGTGCTTGTTCATTGATGGGCTGCAGTCTTGGGTGGCCACGGAGCTAAGGAGGAGGGAGCCTAGAGACTTGGCATCCGCAATGGCTATAGCGGAGCGCCTCGAAGACTTTAGGCGCGATGACAAGAGGGCCACGTCTCCCAGGAGGGACCACGGCAAAGGTGGGGGAGACCGGCGCTTCAAGAAACGGGGCTCGCCCAAGTCTAGTGATGATGAGCACAGCGATGAGGAGAGACGCCCACGCCATGATAAGGGCAAGGACCATGGAGAGAGGTCTAAGGCAAGTGGCAAAGGGGAGTGCCACGATAAGGGCAAGTGGGAGCCGAAGTGCTACTTGTGCGAAGGGCCGCACATATTGCGACACTGCCCCAACAAGAAGACCATGAGCGCCCTTGTGAAGGATAAGGGCAAGGGCAGGGTGGACGATGCGGGCAGCGATGAAGATAGGTGCATGGGGGCTATGCAGATGCTGAGTAGCATGGCGCATGACACCAAGAAGAAGGGCAAGGCAAAGAAGGTAGCTGGGGTGCGCTATGTGGATGCGCAGGTTGGTGGCAAAGCCGTGCAAGCGTTGGTAGACACGGGTGCTACACACAACTTCATTACCCCGGAGGAGGCGCAACGACTTGGCTTGGAGATGCGCAAGACGGAGGGCTGGATCAAGGCCGTCAACTCCGAGGAGGCACGCGTGAGTAGAGTGTACAAGGAGGTGGAGCTATGCATGCAAGGATGGAAGGGCAAGGCTGACTTCCAAGTTGCGGAGATGGACGACCACGACATGGTGCTGGGGCTGGAGTTCATGGACAGGAACAACGCCGCGCCACTACCATGCCTTGGTGCGTTGATGATACTTGGAGGCGAGGAAGGCAAGGCCGCATGCATGGTGCCGCTCGTGGGCAGGAAGGAGAGTCCGGAGGTGGCAGTCAACACGATGGAGCTCGTGAGGACTTCACATCTCCCGAAGGGCGCTCGTACGTTTGGGCCAAGGACATATGCGCAAGTGCTGATGACCTGCGAGAGGCTGGGTCAGCTGAAGAAACCGTGACGAGGGCGTCACGGAAATGGGTGGGGGAGAATGTCACGCCCCGCCTATGGAGGTTGTGTCACGCAGGCGACACGCAGACGCTGAGGAGGACGCTGCATGGTAACTGCATGGCAAGTGGAGTTTCTAGAGTCTTCCGGAATAGTCTAAAGTTATGTGGAAGATTCTAGATATGTGTAGAAATGTGTAGAAGTGTGTGGAAGGTTCTAGGGTTCTCTAGAGTTGTGTGGAGTAGTATGGAGAATTCTAGAATGTTGTAGATACTAGTAGATAAGTATGGAAGTGTGAAGAAGGTGGGAGAAGATAATCAATCTCCACCGTTGGTTAGAATGCATCCTAGCCGTCCATTGGGGATGGGGATGCCTATAAATAGAGGTAGGACTTCATTTTGTAGGGAACAAGTCCTAGAGTGAGTCTTGAGAGCCTTGTAGAGAGCTTGAGTGCTAGCCTTGTACAAAGCATTCTTTGAAGTAATAGAAGTGTTCTTTCCTTGCCAACTTAAGTGTCTCAGTGTGTGTGAGTGTGCAAGCCAAGTGAGGAGAGGGCGAGTGCAACTACAACACTAGTAAGCGCACGAGGGGAGTGTGTTGGCTAAGGTGTGCACGGGAATTAGGCTGACCAAGTACTTGCGAGAGTGGAAGCAACATCTTGGTGCCGCACGGGAGCAGCTAGAGTGGTGCTGAAACTCTAAGCCCGTGACACTATGCTCCACACTTTTGAACTTGTCGTTGCTAATAATCAGAAATTATAGAGGAAACAAAAATAAATGGAGTTAATTAGTAAATTGTGAAGTAGTTACTAGGTGGATCATAACTGATTCATTCAAATTGTGAAGTGTGTGTATATATATATATTATACATTTATACACACACATATATACCTGCATGAGATCTCCAATGTTTGCTATTAGAGCTCCAGGGACAGGAGCCACATCAATCCATTGATTTTGATGAAAAACTTGTAGACCACCAATGCTGTCCTGCAAGAGTAGAGTTAGAAAAAAGGTGTCTGAATGCCTGGTGGTGCCCAAGGTCAGGTCTGGCTCTGGACAAATTGGATAATAAAGGCATGACAATATTTCACTTTTCATGCATTCTATGCGAGAAAGGAAGTCACTGCTTAGCCCTAAAGCCTCTGATAGTAATTCGGATATTGTCTCCCTCAGTTTGATCATGCATTCCACGTACTCTTGCACTTCTTTTCTACAAATCCAGAAGTAGATACAAATTAAGTAGTGATCTAGTACAAGATTAATATATGGTTAGTGCAATTAAAGTGTTTAAGTTGGGTACTCCCAACAAATTAGGATCCCATCTTGTACATTGGCGGGATGATCTCGTGCACATAGAGAGGTAGAGATCACTCCACATGAAGTGTGGTCTCAATAGACAGAGTAGATCCCACCCATGTGAGATGATTTTCACATTCCCTCGTACATTAGACTACTGCACAGTGCACATGATCGAGAAAATTCCAGTTCTGAATTTCTCTTGATCTAAGAGGAGGATATCTAAATTCAAACTCATTTAACCTAAACATTTTTCCCCGTTTGTGGAAAGTTTAAGCACATGAGAGATCATAATGAGAGATCATGTTCATTAAGTATGATATCATTCGTTTTATAAGATAGATATCATACTAGCTTCTTAATTTGATTTTTTATCTATGCATCAAGCAATGATCCATAAAATTATAGAATGTTGTAAACATGAAGTTGTAAGTACCTGAAAACCAGAGGAATAGCTTCAGAGTCCAATGTATCATCATAAAAACCACAAGTTAACAAATCCCTCCAGCATGCAACATCAAGTTCAGTAACATTGCTGGTAAACCTCACTCTCTGCTTACTATCAGAGGAATAGAACTCCCTCTTCACCTCCACCGGTTGCTCGTGGAATCGTCGGACACCTTCTAATACGGCCTCCATCTTGCTCATTGGAACTCCATGATTCACCATCCGAAAGAAACCCCACGTCGAGGCCGCCTGTCGAATCCCATCCACAATCTCCTTTCTCCGAGCACCACCACTCTCGACGCCTCGGAAGTCCATCGTGGGGAGCTCTAGTTCAATACCACTCATTTTATCGGGCGTCGATGGACTGTGAATACTCTCAGGTGGGTGGACGAAGAATCTGGGGATCCTCACCACGCCGGCGTCTACAAGTCCTTTCACGCCCGCTTTGGTTTCGTCGAATTCCTTCACTTCTTTGGCCCAATTGTAACGACCATTGCCGGAGACCGCTTCCATTTTTGTAGTGTATGTGGTGTTTGTATAGTGATTAGCTATATATGCAGACCGAGGTATAGCTGCTTACAGTGAATGCACGAAATAGGCGACTTAAGCGCATCCCATTATAGAGTGTCAGGACAGGAGAAAGTTCAAATCAACTCCGAAGGGCAAAATAGTAAAACTTAAGTCACCATTAAAATATGTACTAAATGATTCATGTGTTCAATTCAATAGTCATATGTAAATAGTTTGATAGAGTTATCTTTATAACATAATTCTATTCAATAATGCAATAGGATAACTAAGGGCAACCCAAAGGATAGATTAGTGGAAAAAAATTTGGTGCCCCATAAAGTATTATATCTCATAACTGATTTTTTTTGAAGGTTACATACACTTTGCGAACATAATTCGTCTATGTAGAACCGCCTTACACAAACCCCGTTAATTATTTATAAAAAAAATAACTAAAATTAGAAAAGTAAAGAAAATCCATCTTTGGTTATATATAACGTATAGTACTCATAACCAACAGGTCAGACATAGCGATATCGGCCTCTTAGCTCCCAAAGGGTGATTAGGATTCATATCTCAGAAGAGACAAGTGTGTGCAAGTACCAACTAAGAAAAAAAAAAAAAAAGAAGCATAGTGCTCGTAAAAATAAAAAAATATATGCATATTCTAATAGATTGTTGGTTTACTACAGTAAACACACACACAAGGCCTCTGCCAAGACTTGAATACTAGATCTCTCCTTTTGGAGAGGACTAAGAGATGAGCCATTTGACTCTCTGATAATTTACTATAAGTTTTAGGGACACATGCATCGCATCATACATACTCTTTTCGTAATATACTTAAATATATGAATTAAGCTCTAAACTATCATCTAAATCGGGTAAAAATAAACGATTGTTTAGTGGCATTACAGTATTATATATATAGGGGGGGTTCAAACAATATATAACTACAGAGAGAAGAACCGAAACAGACTCAGAGAGAAAAACAGAATCAAAAGAAATCACTTTCTGAAAAATATATAATAAATAAACTCTAATTAAAGAACTTACACCATTAAGGACATGTGCAATAATTGTGTATATATATACACACACACACATATATAAATAATTGTTTAGTGGCATTACAGTATTTTAGTGGTTCTGTATCAAGATGCTTGTAATGTTCGTGTCCACGATCTCTAGTTAAGTCATACTCTTCACCCTTTAATTATATGGAGAGCTATATATATAAATAATTGTTTATTGGCATTACAGTATTTTAGTGGTTCTGTATCAAGATGCTTGTAATGTTCGTGTCCAGTCTCTATCAAATATCTTTTTTTTAAAAAAGGTTAAGCAATGTATAGATAGAAGAAAACTGTACGTAGAGGCCCTTGGCCAAAACAGCCCATAAAGGGCAACAGGCCCAAAGAGGCACAAAACAAGAGGCCAATGGCCAAAACAAACAAGAAACAAAAGCCCAGACCAATACAAGCCTAATAACTTTGTTTAACAAACTAATAAAAAAGCCGTTAAACTAAGTTATCAAGCTTTCAATCCGGTAGCAAAGCCCTAAATCGGCAAAGGGGATCCCTCTGTAATAGCTAATCCAGCGGTCTCGGAGGAGGACGACAGCATGCCGGAGACAAATTCCAAGACTGCAAAATAGATCTAGATGTTTCACAATCCTTAAGGCAGCGCAATTGGGGAATGCTTGTGATTGTATTGCTGACCTTAGTCAACACCAATCTCTGCAAAGACGATTTGCCTTTGAAGATTCGATTGTTACGTTCTTCCCATATGTGATACACCATGGCTAAGAGGCATATCTTCCGAAGCATGTTGATTGGAGAGCTTCCCTTCCATCGGTGGCTAATCCACAGAATCATGTCCTCCCAAGAGAGGAATGGTTTGTAGAATTTGCACCTATCTTGTATGAATTTCCATAATGGTGAGGAGAAGATGCATCTGAAAAAGAGGTGGGAGTGGGATTCAGGCTCAGAATTGCATAGAGCACATATGTTATCATGACTAGCCATTGCTCTGCTGTCGAGGGTTGGAAGTCTGCTTTGGGCTGCCAACCACATGTTGAATTTCATCCTTGGAATTGTGGGAGAGCACCATACAAGGTTGCACCAAGCAATTTGATCACCGTTGCTTGCAAGATGGAGAGTGGTATGTTTGAGATTAAAGGTACTAGAGGGGGATGCTAACCAAATTAGCTTATCTTTTCTGGTTGAGCATGGCTGAGGAAGAGCAAGAAGTTCAGGAACGGCATTGGAGAGTGAATGGGGGAATGACCAAGGAGTGAACTCATCAGCTCCCAAGTTTGAGAGGATGTGGGAAGGAAAACATAAGCTGAGAGGACCTGCTGGAGACCAATTATCCAACCAAAAGTTGGTATCCATTCCATTGCCGATGATATGCTTGATGATGAGTCTAGCTGGATGCCTCAGCTGAAGAATTTTTCGCCAGCTCCAAGAGCAAGGCTGGGGGATCTTCAAGCTCCAAAAGCTTCTATTCTTTATGAGGTAAATTCTGCACCAATTGATCCATACTCTGTCTGAATTGTCTGTATGAAGGTCCCAAATATATCTAAGAATAGCAGCTCTATTTGCAACCTCAAGGTTGGGGATGTCTAGGCCACCCTCAGCTTTGGGCCTGCAGACATTATACCATGCAACTTTTGACCCTGTAGATTTCAATTCTGGTCCTGACCAAAGAAAAGATCTGAAGATCTTGTTCAGCTCATTGATTACACTTTTTGGGAGGACAAAAATACTAGACCAATAGAGCTGAATTGAGACAAGGACAGCTTTAAGAAGCTGTAAACGACCTGCATAGGAAAGGGATCTGGCAGACCAGTGAGAGATCCTGTGAGTGATTCTTTCAATGAGAGTTCTACAATCAGAGCTCTTAAGGTTTGTAGTGATCAGTGGAACCCCGAGATGTCTAATAGGCAAACTGCCCTTCTAAATGCCAAATATATCAATAATTACTTCTTCCATCTAAGGGTGAATGCCTGCACAAAAGATTGAACTTTTTAACAGGTTGATTGTTGGACCAGACATCGAGCAGAAGAGGTCAAGGGTTGATTTCAGTATGGATATGGATTCAATGTCTCCATGGCATAGTAAAAGGAGGTCATCAGCAAATGAAAGGTGGGTGATACGTTGCTCCTTACATCTCCAATGATGCTTAAATCTTGGAGCTCGAGTAACATAGTTGCTAATAATGGATGAGAGAGCTTCAACAACAATGACAAACAGGAACGAGGAGATTGGATCTCCTTGTCTCAACCCTCTCTTCCCCTTAAAAAAAACCCTGAAATTCTCCATTCAGAGCAATTGTAAATGATGGGGATGAGATACAAGACAGGATAAGGGAGATAAACTTCTGAGGAAACTTGAGAAAAGTGAGGCAGTTGGAGATGAAGTCCCAATTTACAGAGTCAAAAGCTTTCATAAGGTCAATTTTGATAGCACACCTAGGAGGGCCAATGTCTTTGTGATAACCTCTTAAAAGCACATGTGCAAGGAGGATGGAGTCAGTGATCTTTCTGCCTTGGACAAAAGCTGTTTGAGTAGTGTCAATGATATGAGGAAGGGTAAGTTGAAGCTTGGAAGCCAACAATTTTGCTATACACTTGTAGATGATGTTGCAACAGGATATTGGCCTGTAGTCATTGAGAAATGAGGGATTTGAACACTTTGGAACAAGTGAAATGTAAGTGCAGTTGATCTCAGAAAGGAGCTTCCCATTCCTGAAGAATTTAGAGATGGCCTTAATAATTGAGTTCCCCACAATGTGCCATGTCTTTTGGAAGAAAAGTGCATTATAACCATCCGGGCCTGGAGCCTTATCCCTATTGAGTGACAACATGCAATTCTGGATCTCTAAGGGAGAGGGGGGAGATTCCAGAAGGCTGAGCAAGTTGGAAGGCACTGATTTGGTAATGAATTGGGATAAATCAGATGGGCCATAAGTAAGAAGGATGGAACATCCTAGTAATCTCTGAAAGTGAGAGATTGTTTCTTGTTTGATGGCCTCTGGATCAACAATGACCACCCCAGCTGCAGTTGTGAGACTGACAATTTTGTTCCTGTTAATTCTGGAGGCAAGGGATTTGTGAAAGTAAGAAGAGTTGGAATCTCCTAGTTTCAGCCAAATCATCCTTGATTTTTGCCTTAACATGTCCTCCTGAACCTTCCCCAACCTCAAATACTCAGCAATAAGAGCCATCTCTAGTTGTCTTAGGTGGATATCATTTGGGCAATTGTCAAGATCAGTTTGACATGAATCCAACTCTAATTTTACAGAATCCAGCCTTGACCCAACATCAGAAAATTCTTTCCTGCAGGTTGATTTGAGAATGTGCTTGAGTTTTTTCAATTTTTGGACTACCTGGAACATAGATGTACCCTTGATACGGGAGCTCCAAATTCCTTGAACAAAGTGGTAGAGAGTGGGTGGTTACTCCAAACATTGAAGAACCTAAATGGAATGCGCTTCCCTTGGAAGTTAAAGTTCATAGAGAGTAAGATTGGGCTGTGATCAGAGATACCTGGGGTTAAGAACTTGCATTCTGAGAGTGAAAGGACATACTCCATTTACAATTTACCAAAGCTCTATCAATCTTCCTAGCTATGCATGCATCCCCCAAGCTTTTGTTGTTCCAAGTATACAATAAACCATTGTATTTCAAACCCTCAAGCTCAGCCTGTTGAATGCAATCTTTCAAGTCAGACATTGAAGAGCTCCACTTCTGTGAACCACCAAACCTCTCATTTGAACTGGTTATAGCATTGAAGTCTCCCATGATGATCCAAGGAGAGTGAGAGAATAAGTTTGAGTGGTTAAGAATGTCACTCCAAAGAGTCAATCTTTCATTTGCATGATTAGAGGCATAAATAAAGGAGCAGAAAAATGACACATCATGACCAATAATGGAGACAAAGCAGTGAACGGCTTGCTTGTTGATGTTAATAATGTTGAGATTAATGGAATTTGGATTCCATAAAATCTAGATTCTCCCAAGATGGGAGAAGATGTAATTGTGGGCAATAGACCAATGAGGAGCTATGAGATGATGGATAGCTGCTACATTGTCATGAGACACTCTGGTCTTTACAATAGATATAAGATCCAGCTTATTTTCTGAGATAAGTTTCTTTACCTCAGCCTTCTTGGAGGGCTGATTTAACCCTCTCACATTCCATGTTATAAAGGAAATCATTTAAAGTTAGAGGTAGAAGAACCTCTGAGATATCTGTGGCCCTTTGGAAGGTCTGAAGATATCAAAACTGGGCTGTGGCTTTTACTCCCTCTTGCAGCCTTTTTTAAGCTTCGAACTGTCAATTTGTTAATTGTTGAATTTGCATTTGCAGGAGGAAATGATGAAGATGGCTCACTCATGCTGCAGCATTGTCTTGGAGATGCTACAATTGCAGAATCTTGAACTTCAGGGGAGTTGGGATGATGCTGCTGGTCCAAAATAATGTGTGTGCATGGGGGAGATACCTCATTCCTGGACCAGCTCAGTCTCGGCTCCTGAGGGTAGGTTGATGGAACTTCTATACATTCAAATGAGGTGGAACATGGCTGTGATGGCTATGTGAGTGGAGGGGTATGATGGAGATTGCATGTAGAAGGAGTGATTGTGCGTGTAAATGAAAGTTTCTTTACACAGAGAGGGGATGGATTTAGAGGTAGAGGCCTGCTGGTGTGTTTCCCTTTGGATTTGGAGAGAAGTGCAGTGGGCCTGTTGATTGTAGGTGCTGAATTAATTGGACACTGTGGGTCAATATCACAGATGGAGAGTGGGGTGAATGGGTTATTACACAATAGAGGGGAAATGACTGTTTGTTGTTTATCTTTGTGCTGTGGATGATTTCTCCTTCCATTCTTCTTCCTTAGTGTGATCCATTCTGTGTTTGGAAGGTTCTCAGCAGGGGTATTGTCAACCATAACAGGGCTTGTGTCAACCGTTGGTGGATTAGGGGTTGTCTTCATTTGTGGCTTTGGGTTTATATAGTTTTGGGGACAGGATGCTTCAGTATGGTTAAGCCTCTTGCAGGTATTACAGATCTTGGGAAGCCACTGGTATTCAATACCAATATCAACAATGGTGTCATCATCCTTTTTGAGTTGAGTAGCTGTGAGCAGAGGCTTTGTTAAATCAACATTGATACAAATTCTGGCATACCTTAGCTTTGATCTTGATTCTGTTGCTAAGTCAGCATAAAGAGGGATTCCAACAGTGCTAGCAACATGGTTGAGACCCTTAGCAGTCCAATACCTCATTGGAATGTTGTAAAATTTAACCCAAGTAGGAGTAAAGGTGGTTTGAAGGGAAGAAGGTTGATTAAACTCGTCCCATTTGACCAAGGAGAAGGGGTGGCCAGCTAATGTCCAAGGCCCCATGGATAGCACCTTTTCAGCCTCATTGGTAGAGCTAAATCTGAAGAGGTAAGTGTTGTTCTCACCCAGAATTGTCTCAGTTAGACCATCGGAACTCCAAAGCTTAGTAGCTGCTGTACTGACAACTTTGAAAGGGAGTCTTTTGCGGATGGAGGTGCCAACCAAGTGATTTGAATTCCAAAAATTTAGACCTTCAATTGCTACTTCCTCTGGTGGCTCAATCAAAGATGGGTTAAGGGATGTGATTCAATGAACTCGAAGTTCATTTTTGCTGGGCCATTTTGAACAACTTCAGTCCATCTTTTTGTCTGTTGGATCTTAGCTGGGGGTGGTAAAGGGATGGTGGTATCCGCAATATGGTGGGCTAGGTTGGTTAGAGTAAGTGGGTTGGCTAGCGTGGGGGAGTTTGGTTGATAGCTTAAGGTAGGTTGGCCTAGTTGGATGGGACGTGGGTTGTTGGGAAAGTTATCAACATTGCTTCCTTTTTGGAAAGGGGTTCCTGCATTTGACAGTTGGTGGTTTGGACTGAGATGAGGTGGTGATGTCACGGATTTTGAATTCAAATTCAGATTGAGAACTTGTGGTACATTGGCTTCTGTGGTGGTGGTGGTGGTGGTGGTGATATCAGGTGGAGGTTGATGAAGGGTGGCTATGGCCTTGATTTTGCTTTCTTCGAGTTCTTTCCTGAGCATAGAGATGGTTCTGTTCCTTTCCTGAATCATTTCTAAGGCTTCACCCAAGTTTTCTTCTGACCATTCAAGCTTCTCTGTCAATCTGTCAATTTGATGCTCTAGAGAGTTGTAAATTCTTAGGTTGAAGTTCTTTGGCAGGTGGTAGCTGCTGTTATTTGAAACACTTGAGCCCTTCCTATTCTTGTGTGGAGAATGAACTGTTGGTATGGGTGATTTTGGTTTTTTGCCTGTTAGCCAAATGGGCTTGGTTGATGGTGGAGGGAAGTGGACTGGTGATTTACCGGTGTGGAGTGAAGGAAATGGTGGTTCAAAAACTTCAATTTGTAACAGCCTAGGACAAGAGATATTTGTTTGTTTCACATTGATTTTGGAGATGGGCTTAGAAACATTGGTGAGTGGTTTTTTAGGAAGTGGATTGTGGGATGTTGATGTGTGGCTTCCATTGTTGTGAAGATTCGTGAGAATGAATGGGGGTTTTAGGTGGTTAGGAGGTTTCAGAGGAGGTTTCATAAGGGACTTTGCTGTTGAGTTCTTTGGTTCTGTTGTACAATTTTACTTTGAAATTCCATCAATCCTATCAAATATCTCTATCAGTTATTGCACATGTCCTTCATGGTGTAAGTTCTTTAATTAGAGTTTATTTTAGTATTTATTTTTTGTCAACATGCCAATTACACAATTTCTAGGAAAATATTTGCCTAGGATAAAGTGTTCTCTCGTGGTTCAATTAAATGTACAGATTGTTTTTAATTATAAATTTAAAAAATAATAAATAATAAAATAACTTATTATTAATAAATCACATTATGTATTCATCAATTCTTTTATTTTTCTTATTTATAATGTTTTTTAATTTTATAATTAAAAATTATGTTATATATTTGTGATTGGACAGTCCCGCGGGAACATCTGCACTTGTATTATCCCAATTTTCAATCTTCTAGGGTAGTGGCCTACTAGTGGGTACTGCCTGGACTTGTGTTCTCCATGTGATTAATGTTTACAAAAACCACGTGAGTCAATATTGCAACCATGATCGTTATGGTGCGTGGGTAGGACGCCTCTCCAGCATGTTCTGGTGTTTTTTCTTGTGGTTAATGTTGATGGTGTAATATTGTCATGTTTGTCATGTACTCTGCAAATAATATACTCTTATTTGTCAAAAAAAAAAAAATAATAATAATAATAATAATTAGGTTAGGGTTTGTAAATAATAAAAATAATAATACTAAACTAAAAAATTAGATGGGGTAGTAAAGCTAAGACCCATTTACTAACGCTTTTGCTTTCTTATTTTTGCTTTCTTTAAAAGTAAAATTATATTTTTCATTTCTAAAGCTGAAATATCAAGTAGAATTATGTTTATTAATTTTTTATGCTTTCAATATTTTCAAAGCAAAAAATTAGAAAGCAAGTTTAATAATTATAATTTTGATTTTGTTTTCTAAAATTGACAATTAATGTTATATATATATATATATGTAAGAGGCACAGTTCTTCCATTCATTGAATTGGTGGAATCGCACTACTAAAACTCTTGAATTGAGCTTAGTCAATAATTCCTTTTTGTTAAGACACTTGTCTTCATGAAACTTTTTCATTTCCAGTTGAAATTTGCTACCTTTAGAGTATATATATCATCACTATGACGTTTTTTTCGTGACATTTCAATTACCAATCATGAAGAATCCTACAGATGATCCTGATTCGGTTGATTAGAATTCGGAAAACTAAGCTCCGACACCAGATCGGTAGAGGTAGAGCTTGCCAGAGATGTGGAGGGCGGTGACGAAGCCGATGAAGCAGAGGCTCATGACAAGGACGACGGTAGGTGAGATCTTGAGTCCGCTGTGGAAGTGCCGTGCGGACAGGACCAGGTCTGGTGGTCAATGAGGATGATGATTGGGATTAAGATGAACCTCTCACCATTGTTGGCGTGTGAAGAATTCAAGAAGCCAAGAGGAAGAGTGAAATGTTTTTTTATTATTTTTATTTATAAATAATGTTGCAGTACATAAAGTAATTTCTACGAACAGTATAGAAAATAAAGAAATTATAAATCCTTAGTTTCTCTTCCCTTCACAAAATTAGAAAATACTTTCTTAAAATAAAAAAGTAAAAGTATTTTATTAAACATGATTTTTACTTTTAATTCTCAATTTTAGGAATTAACAGTAAAAATCAGAAATCATTCATGTCAGTAAACAGCTCCTAAAACAATTACTTTCCCCAAAAAAAAAAAAAAAAAAAAACCTATAAATGATGGCATGCAGTGGGTCGTGATGTACACCGACGCCATTTACGGCCGATCAAGTGCCAGTTTGCATCACATATTTTTTTACTCCAATTTAATATTCATTTAAATTGTAAGTTTTATATTAATTTAAATAATTTAATTTTATGCCAAAATTCTCATTTAACCTAATACTAATATCATCACCCTTTTTTCTTTCTTTTTTTTCCTTTTTTTTTTTTTTTTTTGACCATAAGTCATTGATTGTATAAGGTTATATATATATATATATATATATATACTATTATTAAATGTGCAAAGTGTTTCAGTATTTCAGTATTTATTTATTAATATAAAAAATATATTTATTAATTGATATAAAACTCTTAAAATTACTTAACAAAATTTAAATTATCTAATAAAATTCAAATTAGAAATTACCTAATAAATATTAAAAGAGTTTCTATAACATTA